GAATATCAGTAACTTCACTGACACTTAACATTACTTGTATTCGATTTTCTGGAACACAGTGTGACTCATCAAGCTACAAATTAAAGTTGTTTTTTGTTGCATAAAAATTCTCTGCTACTAATGGAATAATTTTTGTGTCCTTGTTATTCTCTTCTCCAGGAAAATCAAATTGTCATATATAAGATTTTTTCTTTTTCTTCCATATCTAACCTCTTCGCCACAATCATTTTTGTATTTTTTTGTTTCTTGACACCTTGTCAAATTACTTAAGTGTGTCTGTTAGCTTCCAGGCTGTTTTCTATCTAACTTATCCTTTTGTTTTGTGACATCACATGTAATTTTCATGTCTGCAACATGATTATGTTTCTTTTCTATTTCATCTAAGACCTTGCCAGCTGGCTTTTTGTCTTTTAAGTGGTTTTATAACATATTGCTTTAATAAGTATATTTCCTTTTTTAGCCTAAAAACTTTTAAAGAGACATCATGTTGTTTCTAATGTCTTTGAAATTATAGAGAACTACTATTCTGAATTTTTATTGGGTTTCTTTGAGTAATTTATTTGTGATGTATGTTCATGTGTTTTCACCCTCCCCCACCATACACATATATACCTTTTATTTCAAGTTTCTTTTTACATGTCCCTCAGTGGTTTCTTTGTGATTATTACTCATATTTGAAGACTACCCTCTGTTTGTAAAGGAATAGTATGAGCCTAGGGTGGAGGTGGAAAATGAACTGGGCTATTTGTTGTCCTGTCATAAATAACCTGTCACCAAATCTTTTATTTCTTTTGCCCTGGGCACAAGCCTCTTTTCATTTTTGGACATTCTTGGCAAAGTTCTTCTGTGGAAGGCCAAATAGTAAATATTTTAGGCTTTGAGAGCCATATACTCTATGTCTCAACTACGTGTTAACTCTGTCATTACATCCTGTTATAGACTGAATTGTATCTCTCATCTTAGTCTGTTTGGGCACCTATAACAATTATAAACCCTGTAGCTTATGAACAGTAGACTTTTTTTTCTCACAGTTCTGGAGGTGGGAAGTTCAAGATCAAGGTGCCAGCAGATTTGGTGTCTAATGAGGGCCCACTTTCTGGTTCTTAGATGGCGCCTTCTCCCTATATCCCCACATAGTAGACCCCCTTTATAAGGGCACTAATCCCATTCATAAAGGCTCCATCCTTATGACCTGACTCACTCTCAAAGCCCCATCTCCTGCTACCATCACATTAATGATTAGGTTTCAACGTATGAATTTTGAGCAGACACAAACATTCAGACCATAATATCCCCAAAATTCAGAGGTTGAAGCCCTAACCCGTGACATGAATATATTTGGAAATAGGGCCTTTAAAGAGGTAATAAGATATAAATCAGCTCATAAGGGTAGGGCCCTAATCCAACAGGACTGGTGTTCATAAAAGAAGAGGAAGAAACACAGGAATGAGCAACCACATGGACAAAAGGCCATGTGAGGACACAGCAAGAAGGTCCTCTGCCAGCTAAGGAGAGAGGCCTCAGAAGAAATCAACCCTGCTGATATCATGGACTTCCCAGCCTCTAGAATTGTGAGAAAATTAATTCCTGCTATTTCAGCCACTGTCTGTGATATTGGTTATGGCAGGCCTGGCAGAGTAATATGCAAATATAGCCTAAAAGCAACCACAAACAATATATAAACAAATGGGCATGGCTATATTCCAACAAAACTTTGGGCATGGATATTGAAATTTAGATATAATTCCCTTGTCATAAAATATTATCCTTCATTTCATTTTTTTTAACCATTTAAAAATATAAAAACCATTTTCAGCTCACAACTGAACAAAAATAGGCAATAGGCCAGACTTGGTTGGCAGGCTCTAGTTGTAACTCTTGTCCTATAAGGCAGTTTGATTCACATTGAAGCCCAGTAAATCACAAGCCTTGGCCTCAAGACCTGATAATTGATTATTCCCCTCTGTCCTTCAACCTTGCTTTACTTCTGAGTGTAGAAAGTAATATGGTGCCTTAACCTGTCTTAGCCCCACATTCTCTGACTTTCTTCCGTAATGGGAAATTGCATGCAAAGGGACTCTGCTCTCCCAAACTCTCCCAGTACTGGATCAGTGGCTAGACCTTCCACTATTGCAACATTTATTTCTGGAGAAACCTGCATCCTGTTCAGAGTCTGAGGCTTGAGTCTGCTCTTGGCGTCCTCGTGTTGGCAGATCTTTCCATCGTAATTGGCTTCTGTGTGTTCTAGTCTGTGGTTTAGGCTTATGGCCATATTCTTGCTTTATTGGTGATGGAAAGTTGGTTTTTTTACTCCTGTTTTCCATTATGTTCCTGGGCTGTAAGTGACTGGAGTGAAATAAGTTCCTTTACATCTTTGAACAAAAGCCAGCTAAATGCTGCTGGACAGTTGGGAATGTATCTTTTGTTCTCTGTCTTCCCAGAGCATAGCACAGGGCCTGGTCCAGAGTGAATATCTATTGAATCACCAATCTGCTAAATTTTCCTGTGAAATATTCCTCCACCTCTTCTGTCTACACTGCGACTACCCTCACACATGCCGCCATCATCGCTTCTCTGAATGCCGGCACCAGGCTCTAAACTGGCCTCCTCTGATCTGGCCCTGTTCCACTTTACTCTCTGCTTTGCAGTGAAAAGATGTTCTCATATCACAAACCTGAGCAAGCTGCTCTCTTGCTTAAAACTCTTCAATAGGAGCTTTTTATTCTTAGGATAAGCTCTAGAGCCAAGCACATAGTAGTCATTCAATAAATATCTGGTAAATGAAAGACTGGAAAACTAGAAGCCTCAGGCCCTAAGATGGAGCTGAGATCGGTCACTGAGTTATAGTATCCCCTTGGCAGTTTATTAAATCTTTCTTTGTCTCAATTTTTCTGTCTATAAATACCTGCTTATGAACATAAAGCAAAAATAAGATAGTGGGTAAGTGTGTTAGTTCATGTCTGCCAAGAAATTGATACCAAGATAGGATTTGACATGCAAGAGATTTGTTGAGGAAGGGAGGAAGGAAGGATGGGAAGAGCCTTCAAACTGTGGTAGTTATCTGACACCCATGGAAGGAAAGAGGGAAGGAGTCGTCTCAGGCCACTGTAATCCCAAGAAAGATTCAGCCTGACCAATGGGGAGTCTGGAGCCAAAGCCACCTATAGGAATTCCCCTGCCTCTTGCTGAGCCTGTATCTGTCCTCCTGCCAACCTCATTCACTGGGTGGGAGCAGCCAGAAGAAAGTGCAGCCTCTGCATTGCAAGGCTGATGGATTGAGATGGGAGAACAGAAGCTCCCTGTGGCAGAAGATTTGGGCAGTGCATTCTCAGAGCTACCAGAAGTAGAAAGCCCTTTGATTTGTTAGGGAATGAAGCCCTAAGTAAACACAAGGAAAAAAAAAAAACCATCTTTCCATTATTCAAGGACTGGCTATTTAGCTTGAGGGTTTCACATTCTAAACTCTTATTCCTACTAGGATCTTATGTCTCTTATTCCTGCTAGGATCCTTCTATCCTTTCACTACTCATCAGCACCTTGACACAGACCTTGCAGGAATAGAGAAGCAAGAATTCAGTCCATTCTTTTCTCCTGTAGAGTCAGCAAGGCCCCAAATCCTCCCCTGCAAAGCACTTTGGTTTTCTTTAAAAACTTTCCATGTTTGGGGAATGGTTTTTTCTTCTTTTTTAAATGGTAGTATGCAGCAATATGTTTATAGAAGTGTTTTGTTTATATAAGATGATGTTAAACTATATTTTGGTCAATAATAGTTTTAAAGGCCTAGACCTCCATTTACATAGATAAAATGAATGCTACTATATTATTATTATATCTTATACTTATCTCTTTTTGGCATTTCCTTTAACTATAGGTTTTTCTGTGGCTTTCAAATTCAAAAGGAAAAAGATACTCAAAATAAGCCAACATCATCAGTGTTTCCTCCATACTCAAAAGAAAACATGTTCTTAAGAGTCATTTTTATTTCTTAAAGCACTTAGGATCATGCAAGAAGTTATGTGAGCTGAGGCCAGAGACAGGAGTAAACCATTTAACATCTGACATTTTCCAGGGCTGTGTGTTCAGAACTTGGTGACCCAACTATTCTCTGTTGGCCTATAGTCAACTAAGTACGTCAAGGCCTAAGATTCATGGACTTTTTTTTTTTTTTTTTTGGTTGGTGTTTTGTTTTTAACTCAAAACTACTCTTATAAAGAAAATGAAGCATTAAATAAAACATGCTACTATGAGCTCTATAATCTTATATAATCTTGAAAACTGGCAGTATTGGGCTCTCAAAACAAGCCTGAGGGCCAAGGCAAATATGCCTACAAAACAGTCAGACCCAGGGGGATGTTGCCCAAGGAGGCCTGCAGGTGATAACAGCCAAACCAGGTTCTCGTTTTTCATTTCTTGCCTATTCACACCTAAAAGGGAGGTGGAGAGTGTGATTATTGAGGGACAAAAATGGGATGTCATACAATGAGTCTTTTCCATAGCTTTTTTTTCCAGCATATTATGGGGGTACAAATGTTAAGGTTATGTATATTGCCCTTGCCCCCCTCCCCCCTCCCACCCGCCTGATACCCAATAAATGTTATTCCTGTATGTCCACTTAAGTGTTGATCCGTTAATAACAATTTGCTGGTGAGTACATGTGGTGCTTGTTTTTCCATTCTTGATATATCACTTAGTAGAATGGGTTCCAGCTGTATCCAGGAAAATACAAGAGGTGCTATATCACCATTGTTTCTTAAAGCTGAATAGTACTCCATAGTGTACATATACCACATTTTATTAATCTACTCATATATTGATCGGCACCTGGGTTGTTTCCACACCTTTGCAATTGTGAACTGTGCTGCTATAAACATTCGAGTGCAGATATCTCATTTGTAGAGTGTCATTTGATCTTTTGGGTAGATGCCCAGTAGAGGAATTGTTGGATCAAATGGTAGAGCTACTTGTATTGCTTTAAGGTATCTCCATTTTGCTTTCCACAGAGGCTGAACCAGTTTGCAGTCCCACCAGCAGTGTAGGAATTTTCCTATCTCTCCACATCATAGCTTTTTAAAAAGGTAGGCAATGTATTTAAAATTAGAGATAGCACTCCATATCTGAATATAATAGTTCAGGCGAAAGACATTTTCATATTGATATACGTAAGTGTTCTAGGTTACTCATTTGTTTAAAACACACAGATTGAGTTTATTAGGCCCCCAGTCTAGTCCTAAATGCTATGGGTAAGAGATGGTACACAAGTTTTTAATTTAATCTTTACCTTCTTATGAGGTCTATATTACTATCTTCATTTTTATGTGTAAGGAAACTAAGTCTCGGATAAGTGAGAAGAGTTTCCTAAACTAACATAACTAGTAAGAGTTGGATTCAAGACTCATACCCAGTATGTCTAACTCAAAACCCCAAGTCTTTCTCGTATACTAATGTCTTAAGGGAAGTAGAGAGAGAAAAGTCTTACTTTCCAATACTCACATTCAGTTGAGAAGACAAGTTTGCCAAACAATGAGAGACTAGTTTGAGGCAGTGGTTAAGTGCGGGGCAGAAGTCTAAGAGTGAATAAGAGGAAAATGCTGTGTTGTTTCTCAGATGGCAAATAGATTTCCTCTGTGCCCCCTCCAGCTCCAGCCCTTCCTTATCCTGCCTTCATACCCTCCCATGTGTGCCCCCCAAATCTCAGCTGCCCACCACAGCCAGACTATCAGTATCCACACCCCCCTCCTCTCCTTCTCCAGCAGGCCCTGCACTCCTGGGTCCTTTCTTGTCCCCTCTCAGGGACCTTGCTACCTTGTATCTACACCTGCACTTGTCAACAGTTTCTTCTCCTTAGGCCCTTAGCATATGAAGATCTCCTCTAATTTACAAAAGCCCTTCATCAAACTGCCTCCTAAGGCTGGCACTTTTGCTTCCTTCAAACTTTCTGGTTGAGCTTCTTGAGATTAGATTACTTTACTTTCCATACATTCTTTAATTTATCCTATTCTAATTTCTATCTCCTGGCTCTAGCCAAGGTCACTTTATAATTGCCAATTTTTAGTAACTTCAGAGTTGCCAGTTTTCAGACCTTTTCTATTAACCCACTCCTGCTTGTTAACATCCTCTTGTTTTTGTCATTTACTATGTCACTTCTTCCCTGGATGCCTTTCCTCAGTCATTCCTTCAACCTCATAAATACTGCCATGCCCAGACTTTTGCCATTACCACTTTTATCCTCAGCATAACCACCCTTTCCCTGAACACTCTCATCCTCGCTCAGGGCTGAATCATCACTGATGCTCCATACTCATTCAGTCCAGACCACTTTCCTGAGTTCCAGCTTCTTTATGCAGACCAAACTGCATGTTCCACAGGCACTGCAAACTCAACGTGGAAGTAAAACTCAGCAGAAATCAAACAGATGGGAGGGGGCAGGAAGGGATGGGTAAAATCAGACCTAACGAGTACAATGCACACTACTAGTGATGGGCACACTTATAACTTTGATTCAAACTGTACAAAAGCAATTCATGTAGCCAAAACATTTGCAGCCACATACTATTCTGAAATTAAAAAAATAAAAATAAGGTGATGGTTGTGCTAATTACCCTGATTGGATCATAATACAATGTGTATACATGTATCAAAATAGCACATTGTACCCTATAAATATGTGCAATTATTATGTGTTAATCAAAAATTTAAAAAATAATAGTCTTGTTTTAAAAAAAGAATTCGATTTCATTCTAATCTAGTTAAATATTTAACAGCACACTCAAACTCTTTCACTACCTTTAAGGTATTCTAAAAAGGTTAATTGCACTTATTTTCTAAGTCAGTTAATTCTGTATTGTAATAAATTCTGCACTGAATTGCTTTCTAGTGGTGTTTTGTATATATGGCTTATCTCTCCTCCTAGGTTATCAAGTCTTGGAGTCTTTTTCTTACCCAGAAAATAATCCCAGACTTGATCAGGCCTCTCATAAAGCTAGATTAGCAGGCATTAAAATAGTGAAAGTGTCTCTTAGTAGACCTGTGATATTGTTACTTGGCTAGGAAATCCATATTTCAATCATGAAACCAAGTACTTTTTTATGATTATTGAAGAATTCTGAGCTAAATAAGTAAAAAGAATGTTTGATTTTGAGGTAATTAATTCACACCACCATTTCTCACAGATTAATCCATTGGCTTTGCATTCAGGGGTTTTGTTTGTCACACTGAGCAGCTCATAGCATAGTATTTCTGTTACTACTATCTGTAAATGCATATGTGAGAGTAGTCATTAATTTTTAATTCTTCTAACAAAATCTAGTAAAAAGTCATATGATGTATGCTTTATACTATTGCCTTGATGCTTCCAAATAAGCATGACATCTTCCAGAGAAAAGTGTTAAGGACTTGGTAAATTAGGGTTAATAAGGTTCAGGATACAACTCAAGTCAAATGTCCAAGTTGGAGTAGAACATTCTGCACAAGATATATTAATAAATGGACATACACAAAAGATCTGAGTAAGTAGGAACAAGGACACCTGTATTTCTGTTTCCTGATTGGAAAAGGGCTGGCCAGAGACAAGGCAAGCATATAGAAGCTTCCATCCCTGTCTGGCTGTCCCAACAGCATCATCATGCCCAGGTGCAAGCTTTCATGCAGGTTCCCGGCAAAACCTGCCTTGAATAGAAGGATTGGTCAACATTTGCCTAGAGAGACTACAGTTGTACAAAAGATGAAAGTTTTTAGGTCCATGTGGTTTTCTGCAGTTCTAGAAAACTTACTTCAAATATTTTTCCAGATGCAAAATTCTTTGGAAGATCTTTTTGGAATGAAATTTATTAACTAAAGTGGATCCAGAAAAATTCTGTACTCAGTTTTGTTATTAAGAAACTTCATTTTAATTTGATGCACTCCTCTCTTCCTTCATTTATTTATTTCTGAGACTTGGCCTGAATCTTATGTAAAACATACTCAGAAAGACAGAAAACAAGTAGCCTCTTTATGTAAACTAATCAAGAAGGAAATGAAGCCATTCAAATGTGGTCTCTGCCATCTGTGATCTGTGATAAAATAGCAAAACTACAGTCATGTTTTTTCCTTAAATGTTAACTGTAAAATATAAAATCCTTTTTATTAGCACCAGATGTCAAAAATGCTTATTAAAATGCCATGGTTTATTAAATAACATCATTTTAGACTCACTGAACTAGTAAAGACTAGATTTTTGGCATTAAATTAAATGTCTGAAATTATATATTACTACTTCTGTTTCAGATATATGAACACTAATATACATATACCAAAATTTGAAATTTAGAAACAGAGAGAATTATATATATATATCATGGGCAGAGCCAAAATATTTTTAAGTCTGCAAAAGTAGATTTTCATTTGACTGTTAAGATTGAGATGTTTATATTACACTAAAAATAGGCATTACATATTCTTAAATCTGTAAGAAATCAGAGAAGATTAAATAAAAATAAAGAGTAGATTTGAAATTATTTAATGTATTCTATCTTTTACAGAAGATTTTTGTTTTGTTTTGGTTTTGGTTTTTTGGCTTTCATCACAGTTATATGTGAGGAAATTTGTGATCTTCCCTATCTCCCCGCTCCCTCCAACTAAGAGTTATCACAGCCTTTTCTCAGCCTGAGTCAGGAAGGGATAGCTTTGACAATTAGATGGGAACCATTATATAGAATTTTTGAAGGAATAAAAAGTTTTGGAAACTTCTCTGCAAGCCATGCTTGGAACATTTTGAATTGAAATGTAAATGCAATAGTGAGAATTTAGCATAATAAATAAGGAACATTGTATTTCCGTTTTACTTCTTCATCAGCTGATAGTTTGGTTAAACTCTTTTTTAAGCATGGCTTCTTAAATTGATTTTGCAATTACAGATTATAATGTTTTCAAATATTTCCTTTTCTTTTTCATTTTACCTAAAATTTGTACATGATCTATTGGGTAGGTAACATGAGCAGTACTAGAGTTTGGATATTTGTCCCCCCAAACCTCATGTTGAAATTTGATCCAAATGTTGGAGGTAGGACCTAATGGAAGGTGTTTGGGTCACGGAGGTGAATCTTTCAGGAATAAAGTCATGGCCTTCCTGAGGGAGGGATGAATAAGTTCTCACTCTAATAGTTCCTGCAATAGTTCCTCTTCTTTCTCTCCCTCTGTCACCATGTGATCTCTCCACACATGGCTCCCCTTCCTCTTCTGCCATGAGTGGAGGCAGCCTGAGGGCCTCACCAGATGCCCAATCTTGACCTTGTCCAGACATCAGAATTATTAGCCAAATAAACCTGTTTTTCTTTATAAATCACCTAACTTCAGGTATTCCTTTATAGCAATGCACAAACTAAGAGACGGGGGATTTAGGAAATGTTCTTTTGAGATATAATTCACCTATAGCAAAGTCAGCCATAAATTACTTGGACCAAAGTCAGTGTGTAATGCTCACATCACTTATGTTTGTCCAAGCCTTTCTTCGGTAATATTCAAATCAAGGTCACTACTGAATGTAATCTATTCAGTTTGAAAACAGCAGGTGGGTTCTGGATAAAATAAAGGGCAAATAGTAAAATAACCTATGTGTTTACCTAAGAATTTATTTACTTTGGGATTTTACCTGCTGCTTTTGGTTTTAAAGGTTAACTATGAGGTATTTAGGAACAAGTGGGCCCTTTGTGTTTCAGGAGCAGCAGGTGTTGAGACAGATTTCCAGTTTGACTCCTGCAATAGTAGTTAATGTATTTATTGACTTGATTGATCATTATATGCCCTAAGGGACATAGCCTCTCAATAAAAATTATCTAGTGTTTTTATGACTTTCTAATGTATTTATATATTTTAATCTGGCATATTTGGCTAGGTGGGCAAAGATTTTGTTTCAAAAAGCAATTATAGTTTAAATCTAGCTCTATCATAAAACAAATGCCTAAAATGTTTTTATTTTTAGACTGTCTATATGAACATGGATTTATAATTACTATGGTTTTAGAGGCCTTACAAAATTAAATACTTTT